CTTTTTAAGGATTTTTCCATTCTGCATTTCCCCCAGGGCAGCGAGGGAAGTTGGCCAAGGGAGATTCTCTAGGAGCTTACCCTCCCTTTTACGTCACAGCGGCTCACACAGGCAAAACTCTCCCCAAGTAGGCTTCCCAGGCCAGGCAGGAAATGCCAAAGGGTGGGGGAGGGGGTGATTAGGCAGAGATGAATACTCTGAAAGAGGAAAAACCATGGAGGAAATTATTCAAGACAGGTTTTGTGGGATCTAGTTGGAAGGGATGATTTCACAATGGGGATCACACACAGAATCTCAAAATGCCTGGGAATTTTATTTCTTGTAACTACAAAAACAGAAGCAAAACAAACCTACCGCTCAGGGGCTCTCCCATCCCTCGCCTTGGGTGGATGAATGGGAACTCAAAGGAGGCAGTTCCTGAAGTGATTCCTCCCCCGAAAGCCCTGACTTGGACCAAGCCCAGAACTTTTAAAGCCTTGGCCCAAGGAGCCAGGCTCGCAGCATTGCCATCTCCTCTGCCAATCCAATCCGCATCTGACCTTGCAGACGCGGGAATCTCTCTCTTTATTTTCCAAACATCCTCCCTTTCTTCCTCTCCTTCCTTGCTGTTTTTCAGCCATTGTCACTTCCTGGGAAGAAGCAGGACACAGAGTGAGCTGAGAGCTCTGGTGTAGGAAAAATAATAATGAAAATGAGACTTGGGGATAAGTTCTAGGTCTCATCAGCCATGTCATTGCCCGTACCCCCTTCCGAATGCTACCCGTGCTTCAAGGTCCTGGTTAGATTCCACCTCTTCCAGGAAGCCTCTCCAAATGCCTTCTGCAGAACTTCAAATGTCTCACCCATTTGGCTCCACTAGCAGCGCTGCCATGCTATGGAATACCACTCTTTGCACGTCTCTCTCCCCACTAGACAGTAACCCCTGTGAGTGCAGAGCTGGTATGTTTGAGCTTTGTAGCCCCAGAACTTGAAGTTGTACATCTAGTATATAATAGATCCTCAGAAAATACATGTATAGTTATTGAAATATCTATAGGCCATACCTTTTTTTAACCAAGAAACAATTATTGTGTGTATGTATGTATGAAAATATTAAACACTACTGACAGTAATTTAATATCATCCAATTAAAAGTCATCTGATGGCTTTAAATATGAAAATTTTAGTTTTTCATCCACATCAACAGATGGTACAATTTCTATAATTCTTTATGGTTATGTCAGTCCTGATGAGCATAAAGTCTTTATAAAATAAGAATTATGTCCAGGGTTTTTTAGTTGTAAGAGAGAGGACCTGAGAGCGATGAGGTACTCCATCTTGGCTGGACTCAGAAGTCCCTCCTCATCTTTTTGTACCATGTGTCTGAAAGTTAATTAAATACAGTTCTGTAGCGTTCTCTAGTTAGTTCAGGTTACTCTACATCCCAAAGAGGACACAGCATAGTGAGAACTCAAGTCAACTGGTTTGAATTTGATTGAAATTAAAGTCATTGACTTAATCTATTGGCCTGTCTGCCTTTTCTCACTCACTAGAAGGCCGGAACCACTTCATTTGCTTTTTTTCCTTCTAGATCCCACAGAGAATCAGACTGCTGGAGCCAAGGGCAGGTGGGCAGGGTACGGAAAAGCCCAAAGCATTCTTTAACTTGGTCATTCAGTGGTCTGTGGTAACCAGACCTAACTCATGACCTGACCTCATGACTGACGCCAGTGGATTTACACAACCATCATCATTGGTCACCATACCAGACATGGTACCCGCACCTCACACACATCTAAGTCCTGTCAGGCAATCGGTGTAGTGTGTGGCCTGAAGCCAGGTGTGATATATCAAGAAGTTCTCAAAGGAATGTTTCCATAGGGGCTGTTTCTTTCTACACGCTGAAAAATAAAGGCTACCTAAAAATAACTAAACCAGACAATATTTTTGCTGTTCTGTGTGTCATAAGTAAACAAGACTGAAACAAATCTTAGTAGGATTGCTATCAGGTCTTGTATTCTTTAATCATGTATTAGAGTCCTAGTCAAAACCAGTTACATGGTGGCTCAGAGGAACCGTCCTTTCTTTTCAGGAAAAGGGAAACTAAAGCAGGACTGAACTGTGGCTACTGAACCTGGCTGCCACTCCCACTCAACCCCTGTCCAAATCCTCCCTGACTTGAGCCCCCTCCTTGCTCCAGACCCTAAAGAGCCCCTCCTCCTCTTCTTGGTTTGAGCACTGACCCCCCCCCCAAGGTAATTATTCAGCATTATTTGCTTATGAGAGTTAGAACAACCTTCCCATCTCTTACAAGTAAGCCCCTCCACTTGAGAGTCATCTTCCTTTTTGCTGATAATCCCAAACCCAGCACCTATCTCAGAGTTAGGTGAACAATTGCCACGCTTTAAACCATGGCTATCAGTTGTCATAGGAAAAGCCACATTTTCTAAAAGTTAAGTTAGGGGATTATAAAATGATTCTTCATAAGATTCCTTTCATTAGTAAGCTAAGGTCCTTCAGGGAGGTTAAAAAATGATTCACTTTAGAAAAATTACATGAACCTACATCTATTGTGTGAAGTGGGGTGTGCTGTGTTCTACCAAGTAATGGTGGCATGGGAGAGGTGGAGCAAAGTTGTTCCTGTAACTGTGGCTACCTGACATCAGCCTGAGAAAAGAATTAGTAAATCTGTGAACTACAGAAGGAAGCCTTTTCTCTCCCCAGCCTCATCCTCCAGCCACCTAGAACCCACTCTCCGTGTCAATTTGGTTATTGTCCTGCCATAAAAGAAACCCATGGTATCATTCAACATCATTTTGTGCTTCACAAGCTGCCACACAATGAGCAACCTCAGTCATGATAGTCTACAATGCACAGAGAAGAACGTTGCTGACATTGAAGACATCCATTCCTGCTCCCTTATCCACTCACCAAGAGACGTAGAGAAGCTGACCCTCCACTGTGGCTTCCCCAAACCCACCCAGTACAGGGGTTCCAGTGAGTCATCACAACCAGACTGGACCACTCCTAGAATGCTTGACCTCTTGGCAATGTGCCCAAAGAAAGGATACCAGTGTGGATCCCTGCCCAGGAAACCACTTCAGATAGGGAAAGAGATGGCTTACCTGCTAGGGGTAGAGGAAGCGGGTTGTTCCCCCACAGAGGGGACACTGGGCTTGGTCAGGCACAAGAGAGCAGCAATGTGATATTAGAGCAAGGCCCCACTGCACTGGGAGTCCCAGAGATCAGACGCCAAGTTCGATTCAGCCAATACAGAGTGTCTGTGGGCAAAAGACTTTCACTTCTCTGAAATCCGATTTTCTCATGAGTGCAAAAAGAAGAGTAGAAGAGATGATTTTTAAAAAATCTTCCAACCTTCCTTTTCTGGTAGTGGACACCTACCAGGTGTGAGGCCCTGTGATAGGTACCATGGAAGATAAAGACATACAGGTACACTTCTCATTAATCTAGAATTATGCTCAAGTGGAGAAGAGAAGAAACTCGACCTCATGATTGATCCTCTATTATCATGTTGGGCTCCACGTGTGTACACATACAGGCACACGCACAGCCCCACAAATATTAGTCATTTCATAATACACATCAAAAACAAGGATAATCAAGTTCTGTGCTTGTTCAGAAAAGAGATTTCCAGATTTTCAGAAGATATTTATTATTCTCCTGAGAGATCAGAAGGATAAGAAACATTCCATTAGCTCAGTGTTTCTCAGTGTGGAACAGGTGGTGGTAGGGGCGGAGCTTGGGATCAAATAATTGGGAAATAGTAAATTACATAAAAGGTAATTTTTTTTCATTGCAGTTCCCCTTAGAACTTTAACAAGCAAATGCACGTTGAGACACACTACGAGAGGTCGAGATGGCAGGGTCCCAAACTCTGGGCCACAGAGTGCTTTAGTCTTACAGTTTCTCCCGTGAGGAGAGCACTGAGAAATGCCCTTTGGGAAACAGTGCACCAAAGAGACTGTAGATTCCCTGAGGTTGGGAACTGGGCTTTGCTCACCACTGTATCTCTAGGACCTGGCACAACACCGGGCACACAAAAAGAATTCAATAAAATATAATAAAATAAAAATTTGCCAAATGACCAAAGGAGTAATTGTTGAATTCTAAGTGGAACAACTGGCATCTACAATGGCATGGAGGTGAGAGTATGCTAAGGAGCAAGGAATTGTCTCCCCATGGTGGCATCCTTCACTGCCTGGGCCCCAGATGGGCACAGGGAGGAGTTTCAGGTGAGGTTGCCCTCGCCTTCTCAAGAAGCCAAGGGTTACAAATCCATAAGGCATCCTAAAGGACTAACCTTTCTTTTTTTCCCCATAAAAGGGTAATAAAATAAGAGCTTCATGAAGAATGTTGGCATTTCTCTTCTTTCCTAAGTAAGAAAATCAGTTATGATACTCATAGGTCAGGCTCCACAATGCAGTTACACATTTTCTTTGTTTCTTTACTGCCACCTTCTGGTTCCCAGGCTCCTACATGGAAAATTTTAAACGCCACCTTATACTTGTATGTCGCTATGGCATTTTAAGCGTAAGTCCAGATCCTTTACCTCGTATGATGTTATACAAGTTAGAAGCGGTTAGGGTGGCCTTTACTCTTTTTCATTTGACCTGATGGCAAGATACAACTTCAGTGATTTGCCTAGCGATAGTAAGTTAGGAGCAGTGCGAGGACTAACCACACCTGTTGGTTTTTCTAAGGAGCAAACACTGAGTTTATCCATTTGGCTTTGTCCAGCTACCCTCGCAAAGAGTTCTGTCACTCTCTCATCCCTTCACAAGCACAACCTTGAATGGAAAATTCCATGCCCTTAAAAAAAGAGGATGCTGTTCAAATATACCCTGATGTTTTCAAGGGTAGAATCCATTCCACTTAACAAGGTCTTTGAGAAAAGAATGTAGAAGGCCTAGAATTGATTTTTTTTATCTGACAGTCAAGATCCCATCGTCTCCTACAGCGCCACCCCGAGATGGTGGCCACCAGCTTCTTTCTAAACATACCTTGGTCTGGAAGCAGCAGTAGAGTTGTGTTAGGTACGGGTGTTTCCGCGCCAGAGCCAAAATCCTCTTCTCTGTCATCGTGCAGTCCACGTCATCATCCTGAAGGATCACGTCCTTCTTTAAGACCTTCACAGCATACACCTCGTCTTTGCCTTTCAGCTCCGCCAGCATGACCTGCAATCAACCAAAACCACCTCTCTCAATCTATGCGTGCACAGATGCAAAAGAAGAGACACAAGTCAATACCAAATGCTTTAAAACTAACTCCTTTTCTCCTTCAATCTTAAACACTAAAATAGTATTAAAAAATGTTCAGAAAAACTACCCATCCTAAGACAGCTACTAGAACTTATTTATTTATTTTTAATCTCCAACATAGGGCCCAGGTAAAGAAAAGAGAAGTTCAATGCACATCTGTTAAGTAATTATTCATACGTTCATATACATTTGTCATACTTGCAATTATAGTTTAGCAAATACTGTATAGTATTTTAACTGAACATTACTTCAGAAGTACTATCTACATGGTCTCTATAACTATCACAGTTGCTGATATTCAATTCAAATAAACATATTACAATTTATTTAACCATTTACCTCATATTAGACACTTAAGTTACATGTAATTATTAAGTATTATATAAATAAATTGTATTGAGTATTTTTGTACATATAATTTTTTTCTTTCTTTGGATTATATCCTTAAGATAGAAAGTCTTAGAAGTTGATTATAAGGTTAAATATTTTACACATTTCCTCACTGATTTTCAGAAAGGATGTATAACATAACCTGTCCCTAGTACGGCAGAAGTGCTTTAGTTTCATAGCAATATACCAACACTGGGTGTTTTCACTTAAAAAGTTTTTTTTGCTCACGTAATGGGTGTGAAATACTGTTTTAATTAACAATGAAAATTTAAAATATTTGTTTTCTAATTGTATTTCTTCTGCATGAATTATTTGTCCGCTTTATATTTGTCAAGGTGACTATCTAGTTATCCATTGGTTTATATCACTTTCTTATGAATTTGTATGAGCTTGGTATATAAAGATTCTAATATACTTTACTGTCTGCAGAGATTTTCGTAAGCCTGCCTGCTTATTTTCTGTTGTTTTATTTTCTGTCGAGTAGGATCATTTATCTTTATGTTGCTGGATGTGTCTTTGTTTGCCTCCACGGTTTCTGCTACAGCTTTAAAGATGGGAATGTGATTCCTTCTCCAGAGAGCAAATTAACAGTTGTATTTTCTTAAAGTTTTCCTAACAGTTAATATTTTTGCACTCATTTCCCTACAAATGCGACAAGCCTTTCTCCTTTTAAATAACTAACTCCTAAGTACAGCATTCCAGTGTAAGTGTCAGACTTAAGAGCAGCAACTCAGAAGCTTAGTGAGGGAATTCATGTTAACCTGAAGACCTTCTGTCACCCACATATAATGCAAACTCTTTAAAACCGGCTCAGACTTTGGCTGCGATTTTTCCTAAGAAACAACCTAAATGCTCCAGAATCATCAAAGTTCCCATCCTGCCTACACTGTATGGAAACTTGGAAACTCTGAGCCTGCTTATTTCCCTTGAATCTTGCTCAACACTAAACCAAGTCCTGCTCACAGCCCAGAGTTATGCCAAGCCAGAGGAATGGGGTCTGCTTCTTATTTAGCCAGTCTTTAAAGAATGCGGTTGCTTCAGCCTTTGCTATTTAAGTAAACTCCAGTTACCTTCCTGCCTCAGGATGAGATGCGGCAGGGGAGACGGGCTGGAAACCAGGCCCTGCACCCTGGGAGCTTCAGAGCACCATTCCTTTCAGAGGGAAGTAGAGTGATTCTGAAGCTCAGTGAGCTGACCGACCCACAGGCTGCTGCTTTCAAGACTCCAGGATATGTGAGGGAGGCCTGTCACGTGCCCCCTGGGAGCTCCCAGAGCCAGGCTCCTGGTCCCCCTGGCAGGGCCGCTTTGCTCCAAGAGGTCCTAGAAAGACCAATCCAATCAACTCAGGCATGGCTTTGTGACGAGCAAGGGATCAGAGATCTCAGCTGAAATGTTAAGCAGCTTCCTAAGCTCTCTGCCCTTCCATCTTCTTTATAAAATGAACAGGGATTATTTTTCCATGTCACCCCACCTTCAGAATGGTGGCAGACCACCGCGAATGCTTTACTGAGCATACTCTGCATCCACGGCCCAGACTACTGTGTTCATCTCAGTGGGGAGTGGGATATGGAGAAAGGCACCAAGGGCAGAAGGCCTTGATCCAAGACATGAGATTCTTCTTCTTCTTCTCTTGACACATTTAGAGGATAAAGAAAACATTTAGCAAGTGCCAGAAAAGTCAGTTAAATAACATTTAACTTCCAAAGTAATACACTCAAGATTTGCCTTCAGCCCTCAGTTTACTGAGGGCAGAGATTCTAGAGTTCATTTTCAAAATCTTCAGAATGAATTAAAACCAGAATTTCAGATGCATCTCTGAAGAAGGGAAGAAATGCATTGTTACTATTATTGACAATGGCGTGCCAAGCACATGTAAGGCAATTTAAATTTTTCAAAGTGCCTTTCCACCCACTGTCTCACTCGATTCCTGTCCTCATTTGACAAATGAGAAAAACTGAATCCCACAGATGTCAGAAGCAGAACCCAAGCTCCTATCTGCTTGTCCTCAGGCCATTTCCACTCAACAAGGAAGGAAAAGGTAACAAGACCAGGCTGAAATGTTCATTGCTTAATCTGAAATCAAACAGGAGGCCACGCCACAGGGAAGAGAAAATCAGCAGTTGTACCCACACATGCCACAGACCTTGCCAAAGCTGCCTTTGCCCAACACCTTGATAAAGTTGAACTCATCCAGGCCCAAGCGCTTGGCCTGGCCTTGCCGAACTTCACCATTTTCACCAGGGCTCGCTAGCTGGCCATCGGTGGATGATGCCGCCCTGTGCTCCTCCCCTCGGTTGTCGAATGACAAGGCCTTCCGGATGTTGTTTTCAAGTTCTTTTAGTTCTAGGGCCAAGGGTGACAAGATATTGTATTAGTGCACACCTCAGGAGCCCTTCCCATTAGGACTCAATACTCAGAATTTCCCCCCATGAGCTTTCAAGCGTCTTTCTGGTTCTTCATAGCAACAGACCCAGTGTGGCAACGCTTTATGTTCTTTCACTTACTCCACACACTTTCATTGGCACCTAATATACAGCAGGGTATAGGTGTGCAAAGAGGAGGAGGACATAGTCCCTGCCAACCAACTCATTCAGATTAAACTGGGAGCCCGCTACCTCTCTGAAGGCCCCCACTGCCTAGTAGCCTATTCCATTATTCTAGGTGTAGGACAAGAATCCCAGCCTTCTCTGGGAGGTTGAAGAGTCCCAAAGGCAACAGGTACCCTTCAAGTTTCCTTTGAAGATTAGAACACCAACTAATCGAGAACTGTCATCGTAATCACTGGTGATGTAATTATTTCAACAGCTGGGACTAGGAAGCTGTTACCTGCTGAAGGACTTTACTTGGCCTTGTTGCTGGGTTTATTCTAAATACCCATCTCACACAAGGTTACTTAACAAAATGAGCATGGGCTTATCATTAACAATAGAATTGCTTCCCAAGAGTGACATGTTGCAAATTTATCTCAGATGGGGCAGGATTCCTCAGGACAATTTCGCAACTGCGAGACAGTCTCGCGTTCCTCCAGAGTATGTGACCTGAATTACCTGGGGGTGATAATGCTGGATGATGCTCTGACCTTCTCTATTTGAGGAAGCTTTATTGTTAGCTATTCATTCACCAAGAAACACACTCCCCTGTGTAGAAATGGGCATCTCAAGCATAATCCAATTGTACAAGATGCTCATGGATAACTGGGATTATGGAAGGGAACATGGACTATTAACCCTTGGGAATCAGAATCAGGCATGAGTGACCAGGTGCTGCATGACATAGAGAGATCTTCAGCTTCTTTCCGGAAGGACTGAGGCCCATGAGAGCTTAATCAAGAAATCTAGAGCTCCTTCCCAGGTCTTCAGTTTAGCTCCTCTGAGCTGTGTGGGGGCAAGGGGGGAGGGGTAGGGGGGAGACAGCTTCTGGGTCTACGGATAACCCCATGTCAAGTCAGCAGTTTTCTATCACTTACTCTTCAGTAAGAATAATTTTTAGTCTCAGCATAGAGCTAAAAGGCAAGTTATTAAATGGATTTGGGAAGACAAAACCGGGGTGCTGCGGGAGACCAAAGCTTGAAGAAAAAGTCTTTCTCTATGTTCTTACTGTGGAGGAAAGAGAAACTATCTTGTTTCTGTTCTGCAGTAATGCCATGTCTTGCTAAGAGGGTTTTTGCGTCCATTTGTCGTCACATCTCTGCTGGGTAATACTGGTACCTGCATTGACTGGGGACAGAGAGGCCCTGAGAGCACTGCGTCCTGCCAAGGCTGGAGAGCAGGCTGGGCAGGAGCCTGGCCTAGAAACCTGGTCACCTCACTCCTACTTGATGTCTTTACCATACAACCCTGTCTCCCTGAAGCTCTCAAAGGAGGTCTCAGCATTAAAAAGGGAAATATGAAAATACCCTTTGTCACGTGTAGGTCTGGAATAATACCTACACATTTGGAGGCCCCAGAGTACTGTCAGATTACTTACGAAAGGGTCAAGTCTCTTTTGGAATGAAGCAGAGTATAAAGAAAAAGAAAGTTAACCAGAGCAGCACAAAGAGGGACTCAGACCAATTATTTTGCGGCCTCAAGATTGGCACCCCCCCACCCCCCCATACCTCACCCTCACCCCCAGCAGCTGTTTTATTTACTCCTGGTAAGAAGAGCTGGGTCACAATGATGACCTCCAGGAGGGTTTGAACGCATGGATTCTGAGAGCAGGGTCCCTAAGCCAGGAGGGCACAGTCTCTTCCTGACCACTGACTTAGTTCCTGACCTTTGGACAAAGCTTTTCAACCCTCCAACCTTCTACTTCCCACCCTGTAACATGGGGACAGGGATGGAGCACCAAATAAAGTTGGGGTGAGCATAAGATTAGGATAATGAATACAAAGGGGGCTACAGAAAAGCAGGGCACTATTGTTATGCAAGACTCCTGTTCTGTAGATACAAACATCCCTTCCCTGGACGTCTGCTGCTGGTCACCAGAGGGGAAGGTTTAAATGCGTAAGTCCCTCCACAGCCTCAGCATTCTCCGATGCCTAAAGAATTCAGAAACCTCTGATTACTTTAAGCATATTCTTACAGGAAGGAGACATCCTGAGCTGAGCCTTAGAGAGGAGTCAGGCCTAGAGCTGGCTTCCTCACCATGTCTTCTCGTCTTCTCACAGTCTCTTCTCCAGCTTAGTCTTCCTATCCCCACCCAGGCCAGGAGAGGAGATGGCTTCCCCAGCCCATCCCCTGATTCCTGCCCTGATCTCAGGTTTGGGGTATGATGATTAGAGTTCGGAAGGGAAGGAGTCAAACTCAACTGAATGGCGGTGACAGGCCAGGGAGCAGACACTGGACAGAGTGGTAACAGAAGGGCTACACTCTCTCCCTCTCCTATACTCGGGACTCGGGAAAGAGGCGAGGGAAAGCAAGAACCACAACATCACATGCTCTCTCTCTCTTACTCAGCCTGGGAGGAATTTAAGGCAGGCACGGCCATTTAGAGCCTCACCCTCAAGAAAGCCTTATAGAACGAAAGAAGCTAATGAGTCAACAGAAAGGGCGTCTGAAGCCTTTCAGGGGCTGTGGTTCAGCTAACAAGGTCATTCTTAGGCGGAGAGGCCTCAAGCTCCTTGGTCCTTCCAATGACAGAGCGCAGAGGTAAAGAAGCAAATCTGAGGGTCTCACCCTGGTCACAAGGGGAGGTGGGTGCTGACTTGGATCGATCTTCCTCAGATGGTGAGCTTCCAGAAGTAGGCTGTGGGGACTCGGCACCAGCGATGAGCTAAAGAGAAAGAGGGGAGAGCGGCATCAGAAGGGAGGGTGGTGAGTTCCCTGAGGTCAAAAGCGTCAGGATACTATACCAAGGACCATGGGAGTGCCTGGTACACAGTGGCACTTGCTGAATTGATATCCTGAAAGCATAGACTCGAGGTTTCACGTGTTAATTAAAGGGAAGAAACCAAGAAACTTCAGTTTGTTCAATTTGTATCTATCCAAACACAACTGACCTTTCTAAGCAAAGCTCAACCTTACCCCTTCCAGAAAACCCTCCCTGCAGATACAAACAATGCAAGTTGCCTCACTCAGAGCAATTTGACGCTGGTTGTCTCCAACACCGGTTTGGCATTTAGTCATGATCTTGTTTAGCGTTATTTAGTTAACAATCCCTGTATGTGTCTATGGTGTGGGCTCTCTACCCAGGGAAACTAAAGGTAAAGCTCTATCCAGTATTTGTGTTGCCCCTGGTGACTGGCACAAAGTGATACACATAATAGAAGTTCAACAAAGATTTCCAGATGTATTGATATTTGCTGGCAAATTTTAATAGAACATGCCCAGTGAAGTCTATTTCCTGGCCCCAATACTTGCATGTCCATTTTAAGTTCCCATTAAAGGCAGAGGTTTGGACTAGAGGTCACAAGCACTTCTGTCCCCTTTGACTCTTGATCTTCTGCCTCTGCGCACACGTCCTTTCAGGATGATGGACTCCTTGTGAGGGGCCATAGGAAGGGACCCAAAGCTCCAGCAAGCCTGATGCCCCTGCAGAGAAGCCCCTTTAGCTTCTGACCAAGAGCACTTCTTTCCCACCCTCTCCTACGAACTTGAGCTACTACTTGGTTCACTTGGCTTTTTCCAGCATAGTAATAAAAATATCGGGACTGAAGTCCCTGAGTCTCTGTCCCTTCCTGAGTTTCTCCATGTTGGCCTCTTAACCACCAGGTTCCCTCAAATCCAAGAGAGACAGATGATGCCTGGCTACTGGCATCAGAGCCCATGGGGGAGAGGACAAGGACTGAGTCTTCTTTTAAATGTTTCATGACAGTTAATAAAGATTCTGCCTCAAGTTGCTTCTAGCAAGAAAAAAACCCATGTCTCCTAAAAAGGGTTCTCTCTAGAGCTCATAAATGTGTGTGACCAACATTGTCATCACAGTGTGTTTGCTTAACCCGCCCCTTCAGTGGGGCCCTCGCATTCTTGGGTGCTGACATTCTGCTTTCAACCCCACTGCCTTGGGTTAATAACTGAAGTCCTGTTTCCACCAGTGGGATCCACAGAGCTGAGAAGAGCCACCAGAAGCACAAAATCTCATGGTTAACCAAGAGAAGAGAATTTCTTTTCTCCAACTCCTGCAAAACAGCATTGTCTATTGGGAAAGTAGAGAAAAAGTTAAGAAGCTGGAAACAATTCACACCTTCCCATTCGAGGGAAAATGTTCTTCTGAAAGGCACCAGGGAAAAGGTATGGGCAGCTTCTAAAATGAGAAGGGAAACACAGGGCCCTTCAGAAGGTATTTCAGGGCAAAACTTAGGGAGAACATTTAGGAATCAAGATTATAGAAGCACCCAGAGTCAGATCTGCTTTTCCAGTAAAAGCTTGAGAATTCCTGATACTGGGCAAGGAGGACCACTGTCCACCCCACCCCCAGCAGGATTTCTTGCCCAGCTAACATGGTTCTGATTTTCTCATAACTTACTTTTTCAAAGACCTCTTACATTTTCTAGGCTAGGAGCCAAGGCTAAGAAGGGCCTTCAAACAAAATGCTACGGATGCCTTTCGCTCTATTTACATATGTGGGCCCTGACTTACCAAAATAACATTTTAGCAAATGGATCTCTTCCTACTGACATTCAGAATGTCACACGGATAGAGACAGGGCTTTGGTCTCCAAAGAAGGGCCCAGATGTTTCATGTCGTGGGGCATTAACAATATTCCTCGGGCAGCTGAGTGCCGGCACTATCGCAAATCTTCTTGGCTTGCTCCCTAGAAAAGAATGTGGTTCCAGCTCTTCATCCATTTATCCTCATTACAGCAATACCAGGGGCGAAGTTCAGACACTGACATTGCTTTCATGCCAGTTCTGGAGGCAGAGAAGTCTACTTCCTTGTCTAGAGTTGTGCTTTTTCTAGAGAGAATTCCAAAGTCCTCATCGCAAAGTTTATGTGCCTCTGAGAAACATAACACCTGAGGCCTGCTTTGAGGTTCCCCCACTTCTGGAACTGAAGGAGATGTTAATGTTACCTGCCTGACCATTTCTTTTCCTTTAAGCACATGCTGTTTTGAGTACAGTGTCGCAAACCCAGCAATCTTATAACCTCACTTCAGTGGACTCTCAGGAAGCCAGCACAGGGATGCTGGCCCACAAAGAGCTCCGGAAACACCACCGAATAGTCAGTTACCTTTTTCCTCCTCTGGCCGCTGTTGGTGATTTTGTCCGGAGTGACACCCAGGTCCGCCAGGACTTTGGCAATTCCTCTGGCGTCCACGCCACAGTTGGGAGCCACGTTGGTCTCACAGCGTCGGTGAACGTTCATTTTGCAGACTGCAAGGAGACACAGAGAAGAGATTCCCCAATGTTCACGGCCTAAAATGCGACCTTATTTTTTTCTTCTGATTGTAAATGTAATATATGTTCTTTTGTTAGAATTTGGAAAATGCAGAAAGACAAAAAGAGAAAAAACATCATCCCCTCACACAGAACTAAAATCATCCATCAAACCACCATACAGAGATAACCACTGTTTACAGATAAATAAATAACACATTTAAATTTCCTTTCAGGGAGCAGAACACTGTAGAAAAACTTAATTGGTTTATCTGAAGAAAGTTCACTTGGATTCTGAACCCAAAGGGGTCACATGTATGCAGTCTACTCTATCACTCTGCTAAAATGGAGGAATGCCCCCAGCCGAGCCTATTCAGATGCTCATCTGAAAATGAGAGATTGAATGAGGTGACCTCCAGGGCCCCTTTCAAATCTAAAATCCAATTGCAAAGGAACAAGGGCCATGCTTGAACGTCTTCGTTTGGCCCACATCACTTTGTTGTCCTTGGTGTAGGACATCAGAGGTGACAACATAAATGGTTCTGGTTTGCAGTCCAGCATGCAAGGAGATTGGAAGTCGTCACTCGGTGCTAACAAGTAAAAGCTTAGCAGACTGAAAAATCAACAACTCTTCTCAGATTTATCAGAGAAGTGAGGTCACAGGGCAAAGTGCTGCCCCCAAAATGGGAGAGACGGACAGGTGATCACAGTGAATTACAACTTCCTGGAGCAGAGACCCCCGAACAGCAACCTATGTGGAACCAGCGCCAGGGTGGGCAGGCTGAACTGAAACTGGCAAATTGCTGGAGTCTCAAAGTGGACAAGTCTGAGAGTCAAAACTTCTCGGCAGACCCAGTCACAGGGGCGCGCACACTTTTGGGCTCCCCTCAACTCCTAATTGTACCATAGGAGTTCAACCAGTTCTCATGGTGAATATTGGAGAAAAATTCTCTTATGCTTCTGGCAGGGGGAAGGCAAAGGAACCATTCCGAAATATACAGAGCATTCTGTTCTTCATAACAAGGCCTGTACTCAGGAGAAACTATTTTACCCCAGAGCCTAAACTTTTGTAGTTTTATCAGATCTGAACTGACCTGGGGGAAGGAAAATACCCAACTCCAGCCTGCGGTAGCCTTCCATGTGGAAAAAGGGACATACCCAACTCCAGCCAACTCTAGTCACACTGTCCCACATAGTGGGGAGAAAAGAAACCTGAGAAATACTTATGAAGCTCCTAGACAGAGGCACAGGCTCACTGAAAGGCTGAGATGTAACCACAGGACTATAGAATGCTTCCTCTGCCCCACACCTCACCACCACATCACTAAAGGCCTGCAATTCCTTTTACCCAGGACATCATGTCCAGCTATCATGGAAAAATTACAAGGCAGACTAAAAGGCAAAAACACAGCTTGAAGAGACAGAGCAAGCATCAGAACCAGACCCAGACATGGCGTGGATGTTGGAATTATCAAACCAGGAATTTAAAACAACAATGATTAATATGCTAAGGGCTCTAATCAATAAAGTAGACAGCATATAAGAACAGATGGGCAATGTAAGCAAAGAGATGGAAATTCTAAGAAAGAATCAAAAGGAAATGCTAGAGATCAAACACACTAAAACAGAAATGAAGAATGCCATTGATGGCCCATTAGTAGAATGGACAGAGCTGAGGAAATAATCTCTGAGCTTGAGGATATGTCAATAGAAACTTATAAAACAGAAAAGCAAAGAGAAAAAGGACCAAAAAAAAAAAGGAACAGACTGTCTAAGAACTGTGGGACAACTATAAAAGGCATAACATATGTGTTATGGGAACACCAGAGGAAAACAAAGAGAGAAAGGAACAGAAGAAATACTTGAAGCAAAAGTGACTGAAGATGTCCTCCAATTAATGTTAGACACCCGACCACAGATCCGGGAAGCTCAGAGAACACCAAGCAGAATAAATGCCAAAACAAAAAACAAAACAATAACAAACTACACCTAGGCATATCATACACAAACGGCAGAAAATCAAAGATAAAGAAAAATAACTTTCAAACAAGCCAGAAGGAAATAACATCTTACCTATAGAGGAGCAAAGATAAGAATTACATTTGACTTCTCAAAAACTACGCAAACAAGGAGAGTGGAGTGAAATATCTGAAGTATTGAGAGAAAAAAATCACCAACACAGAATTCTATTCTCTGTGAAATTATCCTTCAAAAGTGAAAGAGAGGGGGCCAGCCCTGTGGCCAAGTAGTTAAAGTTCCGCACACTCTGCTTTGGCGGCCTGGGTTTGGGGGTTTGGATCCCAGGTGTGGACCTGCTCCACTCATCAGCCATGCTGTGGAGGCATCCCACATGCAAATTGGAAGAAGATTGGCACAGATCTTAGCTCAGGGCTAATCTTCATCAAGCAAAAAAAAAAAAAAAAAAAAAAAAAAGAGGAAGATTGGCAATGGATGTTAGCTCAGGGGAAATCTTCCTCACAAAAAATTAACATTAAAATTGTTAAAAAGTGAAGGACAAATAATTTCTCAGACAAATAAAAATTGAGCAAATTTATGGGTAGTAGACCTGCCTTGCAAGAAATGTTAAAAGAAGTTCTTCAGAGAGAAGGGAAATGTTATTAGTCAGAAACTTGGATCTACTTAAAGAAAGAAGGAGCATCAGAGAAGGAATAAGTGATGGTAAAGTAAAAACTTTTACTTTTCTTCTTCTTTTTTTTTTTGGTGAGGAATATTGTCCCTGAGCTAACATCTGTTGCCAATCTTCCTCTTTTTGCTTGAGGAAGATTGTCCCTGAGCTAACATCTGTGCCAGTCTTCCTCTATTTTGTATGAGGGACACTTCCACAGCATGGCTTGATGAGCACTGTGTAGGTCCATGCCCTGGATTCAAACCTGCAAACCTCAGGCCACCAAAGCGGAATGTGCAAACTTACCCACTGCATCACCAGGACAGCCCTATTTTTCCTATTCTTAATTGATCTAACAGAAATTGTTTTTCAAAATAATAATATAGCAACATGTATTTGATTAGGTATGCTTATATGTAAATCATGTGTATATAAATATATATTCTTATGTATAAATGAAATAAATGACAGCAATCATACAAGTGGGAGGGGGAGGAATTAGGATTATTTTGTTATTATAAGGTACTTGCACTATCCACGAAGCATTAGGGTGTTATTTGAAAGTGGACTTAGATTAGTTGTAAATATATTTGCAAACTCTATGGCAAGCGCTTAAAATAAGTAAAAAAAAAAAAGAAGAACTGATATTCTAAGAAGAGAGAGAAAATGAAATCATATAAAATGCTTAATTAAAACCACAAAAGTCAGAAAAGAGTGGAAGACAAAAATAGAAACAAAGAACAAGGGCATCAAATGGAAAAAGTACAAAAATAGTAGTTATTAATCAGACTATATCAATAGTCACTTTACGGGTTTTTTTGCTTTTTGTTTTCTTGCTTTTTCTCCTCAAATCCCCCCAGTACATAGTTGTATATTTTAGTTTTGGGTTCTTCTCATTGTGGCATGTGGGATGCCGCCTCAACATGGCCTGATAAGCGCCTCCATGTCGGCACCCATGATGCAAACCAGCAAAGCCCTGGGCTGCTGAAGAGGAGCAGGTGGACTTATCTACTTGGCCATGGGGCCGCCCTCAATAGTCACTTTAAACATCAATGGTCTAAATATACCAACTGAAAGACAGAGATTATTAAAGTGGATCAAAAAATAAGGCCCAACTATATGTCATCTACAAGAAATACACTTTAAATATGACACATATAGATTAAAATTAAAGGTACAGAGAAAAATATATCATGCTAACACTAATCAAAAGAAAGCAGGAGTAGCTATGTTAAGTTCAGACAGAGCAGACTTTAGAGCAAGGAAAGTTATCAGGGATAAAGAAGTGCATTACACAATGATAAAAGGGTCAATTCTCCAAGACAACTTTAAAATCCTTAATGTGTATGTACCTAACAACAGAGCATCAAAATATGTGAGGCCAAAATGTAGAATTTCAAGGAGAAATAAACAAATCCATTATTACAGTTGGAGACCTCAACACCCCTCTATCAGAAATGGACAGACCCAGGAGGCAGAAAATCAGTAAGGACACACTTGAAGTCAATGGCACCATCAATCAACTGGATATAATTGACTAGTATATCTATTGACTACTTCATCCAATGACAACAGAATGTACATTCTTCTCAAGCTCTTATGGAACATTTAGCAAGACAGACCACATTCTGGGCTACAAAACACACCTTAACAAATTTTAAAAAATGGAAATCATACAATGTCTGCTTCTCAGACCACAGTGGAATTAAATTAGAAATCAATAACAGAAAGATAGTTGGAAAATTCCCATAGACTTGGAAATTAAATAACACACTACTAAATAATACATGGGTCAAAGAAGAAACTTTGAGAGAGATTTAAAAATATTTTGAACTGATTGAAAATGAAAATACAACTTATCATAATTAGCAGCATACAGCAAAAGTATCCTTGAAAGACAAAATATGCCAAAACTCACATAAGAAATAGGCAATGTGAAAGGTCTATATATATTAAAGAAATTGAATAAATAATTAATAATCTTCCAAAACAGATAGCACCAGGTCCAGATGGGTTCACTGGTGAATTCTACCAAACATTTAAGGAGGAAATTATACCAATTCTCTACAATAGCTTCTAGAAAATGGGAGCAGAGTGAACATTTCCTAACTCATTTTATGAGTCCAGCATTACCCTAATACCAAAATCAACAAAGACATTACAAGAAAAGACAACTACAGACCATTATCTTTCATGAATATAGATGTAAAAATACTCAATAAAATACTAGCAAATTGAATTCAACAATGTATAAAAAGAAATATACACCATGACCAAACGGGATTTATCTCAGATATGTATGGCTAGCTCAACATCTGAAGATTAATTCATGTAATTCACCACATCAACAGGCTAAAGAAGAAAAATCGCA